TAAGAAAAACCATCAGTGAAACTGATATGGGTGGTGTAAACCACTTCTCAGGTAATGTTAGGGGAGTATCACCCTCCAAAATGCTCAAGGAAGTTGGAAAAGCACTGCCATGAAATTTGTTAAGGGCGGGGTCAGGATGGTAAAGTGGCAGTTGTTAACACATTTGTCACTCAAGGCTGAAAATTGGACTCAGGGTTTCAGTAACTTTTTCCTTATACTGCTATTGATAGTGTAGAATGTGGCTATGCCTGGAAAAGGGACTGGAAGGCAAAACTCAGACTAGAGAGCCTGCTTGAAAGCTGATCAGACAATGGTAAGAGGTCTTCTCAGCAGCAGTAGACTATCTGTAACTGGTTTCTATTAAACCCCCTGCCATACTTGGTATTACTGATTCAAACTACCCTGCAGCAAATAAGGATTGCACAGCAAATATGGCAGTGGACTACATTAGCTCTTGAAAAGCTATCAATACTCTTTCCTAGTATTTCACCACTCAGCAAGTTCAAGGAAGGGGCTTCATATAAAAGTGAATATGGATCCAGGCTATTCTATTCCAATGGGTACCTATTTTAACCCAATGGACCCTGGGGTTGACTAGCATCTAATTTCTCCCTACAATATCAGCCCTGAATCTAACATTAAGGTCATGAGAATAAAGGAAATGATCACCATCTACAGAAGTTCTCGATTGTTAAACAAATTCTCCTTGTCAGCACCTTAAGAAATGTACCGAGAACAGTATGGAGAATATTAGCGCACTAATCGATGCTAAGATGTAAAGGATTCATTTCCTGGTGTGGTTATGCAACAGCCTTCCATTCGAACTAACTGCCGCTAGACATACTATTTACTCAGCCTAAGAGGATGTGGAAGTTAGTGTACCTCTCGTGAGATCTGTAATAATCCGGTGTCGCTGTTACATATTGTGCTCCAAGATCCACGGTACAGCGTGAATCACTTGCGCTTCTGTTGGTATTCATTCTCCCCCCTGCTCCGCGAGATTTCTCCCAGAAAGTGATATTCAACGCCTCCTTTGGAAACTTTCTGCGCAGCAAGGAAGCTGTAACTGACCCTGTTAGCCCTGCACCGACTATGAGTAATCGGTGAGGCGAAGGCATCTTGTTATCAGCGCTCATAACAATATTGCTCCGAAAAATCAATTATTTTGAGCTTGGTTATGTTGTATAACAGTGCACGAAAAGTCGTAAGGTAGTTCACAGCCAGCGGTCCAGTCAGCGGGCATCCCCATGAAATTATGAACATAGGGAAGTTTTGGAAAATGGACAGTTATACAAACTCGTGAGGTTTCTATAAAAAATCTCGGCTGATGGCCTTGATTTGCGCTTAGTTCTTATAACCATGGGTCCCTTAACACTAGAGAAACCTTGAAGTGTTAGCTCTAGTTCCAAAAGGATCGCAAAAATGCAATTTGTTCGAAAGCTTGTTGGTAAATCCGGGCGACCGGTTCCGAACATTCATCAATCGAGCGAAGATGAAGCTTTATCGTTGCGACATTTACGAAAGCTGTTCATGGAATTCCTTCATTCACCTGTGCCACTAACTGTTCGTGAACAAGAGTCTAAGCTGTATATGATGCTGCCTTTGTTTTGCAAGGTGTTCGGCCACGCTAAACCCAGTTGTATAACAGAGAAATTTGGAGATGTTTGTCAATTCGCTGCGCACGTCTCTCGGCTTATGGTGAACGAAATTCGACGAAGAGCAGCGAATCAACAAAACGAAACAGCTAGTAGAATGATAATTGAATTTCTTATGCGTGATTCTGCGGAGGATACTGTATCTGGATGGACTCTGTTGAACACGTTGAATATTCTTGCTTCGGCAGATACCCCAGTAGTGGAATGCATGGTGGCCGCGAGTTTGCCTTCAAACATGGTCAAATGTCTTTACTTATTCTACGATTTACCCCCTATAGAACAAACTAGTGACAAGAGTAGTGAAGATATGGAAGATGATGCTATAACAATTCAAAAGTTGTACACTCAAGTGCTGGTAAAATTATGCAATTATCAAGCGACTTCCAGGGAACTTGTTCACACAGACGATCTGGCGTTGCTCTTTACTGCAATATCGTGCCCGATCCCAAAACATAATGCGCAGTGGCGAAGCTGTGTGTCGGAAATTCTGATGAGTTTAACTCGCCATGGTTTGGACCGAGACGTAGTGCATTATATTCACAGTAAGTAAACCAATGGCAGACATCGATTAGCAGATAATTTTGAAATCGTGCCAGTCGTTAATAGGTTTATTGTTTTCTTTAGAAGCTTCTTTTATTACTTCTTTCAATTTCTAACTTGTTTTGACGACGATCAAAATGTTTTTTCTCTTAAATAATTAAACATGTTTTTGTGGCCATGTCGGTTTCGAGTCAAGAGCGTTTGGTTAGCTGTACATGCAGTTATTTAATTTTTAGATTTGAAGATTTGATCTCAGAAAGGTACAATCTTTCAGTCTGATTTGAATACATTTTCCTCATCCTCTTTCATTTTGTTTAAGCTGTTGTTTCCACGAAAGAGACCAAATTAGAAGAGGAAATTTTTTGATGTATCAGTTTAAATAAACTATATATAAAATGGGTGTTTGTACAAGAAGTTTCACCAGAGTCATTTCAGTAAAATATAAACAAATAAATGCTGATCAAAACAGTCAGAAATAAATTAATTTCTAATTAATACCTAATGGGATGGTACAAAAAAAGTGTGAAAATGTGGCGTCACTTTTTTTCCTTTAAGAAAAACTGTTAAAGAAAATACCCTTAGTATTTCATCTCTGATGTTTTTCTTTATCATCAAAAAAACTTCCTTATCAGTGAATGTTATTTTCAGAAATTATTTTAAATATGTCTCCCATTCAGACACCCTCTTGAGTCTTGAAAACATGAGATGATTTTACATAAAATAATCCTTGAATGAGGAAATGCAAATTTTAACTAAATAAACAAAACAAAGGCATGCACCTCCTAAAAAGGGAAACATAGTTTTGTTTTTGAGAAGAAAGAATTTTGTTAAATTAAGATAATAAAATCTTTAAAAAATTTTTAATTTTTTTTTCTTTAAAGGAGCATAGGAATTTATCGTTTTCATGTAGAAATAAAGCATATAGTAGGAATAAATGTTGTGGATTGAAATAATCCTCTCACTCCAAGATCTCATTAAGCAATTCTCCTTACTGTCTGCTATATACTCTTATGATGTTACTTCTGAGAATTTGATATTGGATCAACTGAAATTTCCTAACTGGTATTTTTCTCTATTTTCATTGCTTGTCTGCTTGATATTGCATTGATTTTGTAACTGTTTGATTGCTCAAAGGAGTTAAATGGTTAAATTTGTGTCAAAGGAAGTTAAGTAAACATTTGTCCTTTTTTTTTTTTTAGGCAAGTCATGCTTTAAACAATGTCTGATGAACATGCGGAAAATCCAAGAAGTGAATCCTTTGGAGTTGGTAGAAATGATTGTAACACTGGTTTGTTGTCTCAAAGACTCATCAGCAATTTCTCATTATTTATTGGCTGATTTTCGAAGTTGTCATGGCTACCTTTTCCTGTCAGAACTGCTTTTAATGCTAGGAGAGATGACAGAGAATGAAGCTCGTGAAGCCTGTAGGAATGTTGTTCTTCTTGTGTCATCGCTAGTCATGATTGGTCATGTCACATTGGGACCTCTTGTCAGTATTGGTGCCCCATTCCAGGATCCTGAATTTGAAATTCCGAAACCAATTGGTGGAGGTAATTGTAGTCCTCTGTACAGTCATAATCAAAGTTAAGAAGGCAGTGTGGCAGAGTGGTCAGAGGACTGGGCTTGTCATCTGGTGGTCCACGGTTAAATATTTTAACTCTGTTACTCTCTGGATTTGTTCTTGGGTGTCTCAAGTTCAACTCCATGCCTACAGTCTGTATATCACTAACTGGTCTGCCCCTGGCCAGTTTGGATTTTTAAATATATATATATATATAATTACAGTTCAAAATGACTAAAATGAAACACGCATGATTCCCTGTAACTCTGAGTTTTGTGCTTACGCACTTGTCAGACAGATTTCTGACGAAATTGATATTGTATTGATATTGTCAGGAGAAATTCTGTCTTGGTCACTCATGGGAGTTAAAGGGTTAACCATCAGACACTGTTGGGCAGTTGTTCTGAATTCTATGAATATCAATCAATTTCAATTAACTGGTTTTTGTTGGTTTTTTTTGGATTTGGAGTCGCTGCTTAGCAATGTCTGAGATATATATTGCTTGATTATTTAAAAGAAGTATATATTTAATATTTTTCAATAAATTTATTAATATTATCATTTATTAATATTATTTATGTTATATTAAACATTGCCTTTAAATATTTGTTGTGTTTAAATAAAGTTTTATCATTATTATTATTCCATATTTATGTATGCTGTGTAATTTCAATTTGTTTGTATTTGTTACTGCTTTTTCTCAGGGTTTGAAATCCTTATTAAATACCATAGTTTATACATAGAGTGAAATATTTTAACTTATGATTGTAAATTTTATTACCAGGCAGTAGTGTTAGAAACATTGAGGCTTTTCAAGTTCTGCAAACTGTGTTCCTTAAGGTAAAGATTTAGATTTCAGTGTGCAGTTTCAAACTAGCATTGAGCAATCCTTTTGTTGATAACATTCCACCATGTAATGAATGAGGCTCATTAGATCTTGCTCTTTTGCAGACAACAGACAAGCTCCTCTGTCTAAATATCCTGGATTGCATCAAGAACATCTATCGCTCAGACAACGCAAACTTTTTCATTCTGGAACCACAGCATACATTGTCGTTATTTGTTGAAAAAGCTCCGGAGAAGGACATTGAAGTACAGGAAAGAATTTTCCAATTACTGGAACTGGTGATTTGTAATCTCAATTGGGTACCATGCCCGGAGCTGATCTCTGTCAGCATTCTTTACAAGAACAAGAAGTAAGATAACATTTTCTTTAAAAAAAAAAATGTGAAGATAACCTATTTCTCTTGCTTCAACTGTACTTGAACAATCTCTGTCTATGACATCATCTGAGTTCAGTTTTGTCTGAAATTCATTGTGGAAGAAAAAGAGGAAAGAAATAAGTATTTTATTTACAACAAATTATTTCCTTGAAATTTTTTTTTTCTGATAGGGTCTCTGGCTGTCATCAAGTTGCTCTTTGTTTTCTTATTCGCATTTTGAGCTTTGATCCCAAGTATAAAGATGTGTTCAGGGATGTAGGAGTTTTAGAAGTTTTGACAAACTGTCTTAAGCAATATGCTGATGGGTTGAAGGAAAAATATGACGGTAAGGCTAATTTAAATATGATTGTTGGAAGTTATTACGCAATTCGCAGAACTACATAAGCGTAAGGCTGGAAAGCGAAAACTCAACCATTTATTTACAGGTATTCCTATGAAAATCCACAAATATTCTAGTGATAAAGCTGAGTAAACAATCAGTTAGGCAATAAGGCAAGTTTCCGACTTTTTCAAGTTTGGGGTGACCATAATTCAACAATTTTGGTCGACAAAATATGCCAGTACAAACACTGCGATTAGTCCTTTTTCGACAAAGCACATGTCATATTTCCCAGATGTTGATGTCAAAATGCAGGCATGCGGTGGGAGCTACAGAAGTTGACCAAGATGACTTTTTTTTATGCCCATAAAAATCCCCTCTAAAAAGCGCCCTGCCCCCAAATGTGGCTTTCTCACTCAGTTGATAGCAGGGCCCAACTAGTGTCTGGGAGGCATACAATTGAATTCTGTCAAAGCATCAATTTTTTTTTTTTTAGGCTTGTTTTCTGCAATTGCTTGTATCTAACTTCACATTACAATATCTTCCCAAAATCACAGGTTAAGGTCAAGAGAATAAAGAGAATGATCACCAACTAGAGAAGCTCTTGATTGTGAAACAAATTCTCCTTTCTAGCACATTAAGAAATATACAGAGGACAGTGAGGAGAATATGCATACTGATGTTAGGGTGTAAAGGGTTTAATTGCAGCTTACCTACAAGGATTATTTCTTTGCATTATTTTCATCTCAGGTGAAAATCTTACTAACCCTCATACTCCCAAGATCTCATTAGTAATTCTCCTTACTGTCTGCCATACAGTTCTTGTTATGTTAGTTTGGAGAATTTG